ACGATGGAACGAAATCTAAACGGTCAGGACGAGGAAACACGTACGGACAGGAGAGAAAATAATGTTTTCCGCAATACGTGATCGGTAATTGCAGTAGCTCGATATAACCCGTGACTTGGAACGGAAGGATAATATTTTCGCAGAATTTCAAGTATACTTTCTCAATTTCTATTTTGTTCTATTTCTATTTCTTGATTCGTAGGTGTTCCTGAGAAATAAAATTGTGTCATCAAATGTATGTTATCGAGTTAGATGATCGATTGACCGTGACTGGAATGTAACATCATATTTCCATCATTTTTTTAGTGTTCTTTATGAGTTAACAGCAAACGTAAAATCATTTCTTGTACGGCATTTGTTCCAGATTCTTGAATTTATTAAATGATAATAACCCTTTGCCAGTTTTCTGCCCGGGAAAATGTCTTTAACCTTCGGAAAAACAGAAAAGAATGGGGGATGAATCACCTCTGAGGGTAGGGAAAAATCTAGCTCGCGAACTTTTCAACGAGTTCATTGCGCGTTCACGTGTTGCACGTTATTACATAAGAACTGTAGACCGCGCAGGCGGGCACGACGCTGAGCAACCTGTCACCCTCGTTACCCTTGCCTCATCCTTTATTCTTTTCTTTTTACTGCTCTCCCTTTTTTTTGTTTTCCATTCGAGACGATTTATAAAGACCGGTTGTTCGCGATTATCATCCGATGAGCATGCATCGTGGAAATTTATCCGAGACGAGGAAAAAAAAAAGGGATAAAAAACGGTGTAAACATTGCGCGAGTTTTAATATCAATAAATGTTGGAATCGATGGACACACCAAGGAGATCATTGATTGAACGAGTCGAGGAGATCCCTTTCCTCGCAATTGATCGTTCGATCAATTCCTTCACGTGTGCCACGGATATTACGTAAGGGAGGGAAAAGTCTACGTGCACTGTGTAATCTTTTATCCTCGCCGCGGTATTACTCCTATTCCCTGTTACGTATCCACGCTACAGAAGTGAATATCTCCTCGCGAGATATACACGGTATAAAATTACGCGTCACGAAAGCTTCGGCTGTAAAGGCTGTTTACCCGATTGCATTTTTTTTTTTTTTTTTTTTCATCCCCGAGAGAGACCGAACGCGTAATCCCTTGATGAGCATAAACAGCGTTGTATCGGACGTAGTCCTGGCTATACGCGAGGCTAGCTCCTGATAACGAAGCGATGCAAGCCGGAAGGTGGATCTAAAAATAGGGGGAACAGTTATAGAATGAAATTCGTGGGTTGGAAAAAGACTAGTGTTTGATATTGGTTATAATTAACTCACAGGGCAGAGTTTTATTTTTATCTTTTTCTAGCTTTTTTTTTTATTCCTTTTATCTTTTTTGCTTTGTATTACGTCTTTTATGTCAGAAATTACGGTATACGCACAATGAAGAGGAAAAAAAAGTAATATACTGGTCATATAGAAAGACAGATTTCTGTTCTCCGGTTATAATGAATTCTATTTAGTTGAACTTAGTGCGTGTTCACATGTTAGGTGGCGGCTAGTCGTCCCCACCCTGCGTGCGTTTTACACGGCCTCCGTTGCCTCCTCTTCTTCCAAGGTAAATTGCAAAGGCCGAGGGTGGATATTTCGCGCTATTTATAATGTTTACAGTAGCCGACGCGTTCAGAGAAGAGAGAGGCTATTTTGTGTTATTTACCGGTTGCTTAATTACAAGTTGCCGTGGTCGTTCATAGGCGTGGTTGCGAATCGAACGCGATTTCGCAATTATTGAAAAATCGAGCGATCCTATGGAGAAAAAAAGAGTGTAACTAACCATCGGTCGTGACTGGAAATGATCGCGATAGGGCGTGGTAGGAAACGATTTTACAATTAACGTACGTAATTTTTTTGCAAACATTTTTTTTATTGTTTCGACAAGGGGAAGTGCCATCGTCGGTTTCCGTGGTTAATCCTTACACTATATTACTATTATGCACTTGTTTAAGAAAGAGCACTATGGAAATTATCGAGCATGTATGTAACTACCGACAAAAAGTACTCGTCTCTGTTTCATTGATGGTTGCAACTTATGCCTGTAATGGATGGTATGCTCTGTTCGAATGAGATTATTCCGACGTATTTGCAAGAACGTCGATTCGTTTCAAAAAACACTGTCCGCTACAACCTATAGCCTACCTAGAGCGTATAACATATTTTCTCATCGAGAGTATCTTTTATAACCTGACCTCTATACATTCTGAATCAATCATTCTGTATCACGTGCATGTGAACGCATTAAAAAAAAATAAGAAAAAATTTGCCGTCGTTGGACGCGAGATATTGCGCATGATTGGTCGTCGTCATTGGTCGGCCGCGGAAATGTTCGAAATAGTTCGCGGGACTAGTGCACGACGCATTAAAAATATTCGCGCGCGGACGTATGCATGCGCGTTAATACTGGTGTGTATATAGAGCTGTAATCGTATCGCTCGAGATCAGAGATATTTTAACCACAAAACCCATAAGATGGCGTATCGTTTCCTCGCTCGTACAGCGTGTGTAACCAGACAGAAAGTTATCGATCGATAACGGGTCGCCACATATTCCGATACCATTCAAACTTCAGTCAAGCATATTACGAGGCTCTCTCTTTTGTGCATCCATTCCTCGCTATAAAAGTCCTCAGACGTATACCTTTGTTCACCGATCATTAACATCCTTTCGGGAACAAAGAGATCCGATGAACGAAGGGGCCTATCTCTTCCGTCTGGCGGAATCACGGTTAGTTTGTAATTGTTCCACGTTGCTGTCGTTACGTTTAACTCGCGCGCGCATTGTGCATGCATGCATTTGTGGTACACGTATGCACTTACGTGTGTGTAACGATGTGCTTCGGAATACTTCGGATTTGATTTAAAATGTCGAAGAATTCGAATCATTTCTAACGTGATTCGATGATTAAGGAATAAGTCCTAAGTTTATGCTTTCATGAATGTAGCTGTTAGATCAGCCCTTACAAATGGAAGTATGAGGCTTATATTAGACAGACTAAATTAATATTTAATGAATTTTAATGTTTTGTTTTTTGTAGTAGTGAAATAGTAGATATATTGTAATATATAATAGATATATAGATATTCTAATAGTATAACAGCATAGTAGATAGTATATGTAGATTACAATAGATAAAATAATATAGATCTTGAAATAAATATAATGTCCACTTCTACATGCAACGTGAGTTACTATTCTCCGATATTATCGAGTGTAAAAGTTTACCGTTCTGAAATCCATGTTGTGTTATTATCAAAGTTAAGAAATTATAACATAGAACAGTGGTAACATTATTCTATAGAAGAACAGTTCAGAAATTACATACTTATCGCTAATAAGTCTAAAACAGGCACGAATGATTCTGAAGTTGCAAACCACTATGTTAAAAGTAACTAGCGGTCTTTCAAGGTTCGATTTGCTCGTAAAGTCTATCGGCTCGTTTGCTATGCGATGCACGGTTCTCCATTCCTCTCCTCCTTTTCCTCTGTTTCATCTCTTGACTTGAGAATGCATAATCGTGGTATGATTCATACTACGTTTCGAAAACGTATTCGTTATAATTTGATCTTATTGTATTAACAGTTGTATGAAATGAAGTAAAATAACGTTGTAGAAAGAATTGTTTGAAAAACTTATTTTTATGAAATTCTTGTTATACTTCGTTATGGTATAGTCTAGCTAATCGAGTGTACATACGTAATGACCTTGATGTTACCATTTTTTATATTTTATTTTTGTATGAACAACTGAGACACAAGTAATACATATTAAAATTTTAACAGATTATTCTGTATTTGATACGAATTCTGTACATTATAATACAGAGTTTTTGTGTTTAATTGCTCGATTCGCCGTTCACTTTAATTCATGAAATTCTTCGGCCTTGCAGGGAAAAACAACAGAAAGAATGCGTATACGGTATTATTTCATCAACGACGCAGCATCCTGCATTCTTATGCAATAGCTGTGTTTAGTATAGCGAATTGCGTTTACATTTCACGAATGAATTTGTTATTGGCTAGTAATCGATTTCCTGCAAATTAATTAACCAATTATCATTAAACGATATAATTATACAGTGCGTTGCAATATACATCGAGTGAATGCCTTCTTCAATATGTGTGGTTACGTTTTTGAAATTTTTTAAAATAATCTTCTTGATTTTTTCGTTTCATGCAATTTATTTTTCTTAAATAATTTCTTAATTAATTTTTTTTTCTTTTTCATGTTTAAAGTTTGATCTCTCTATAACAAGAAAAAATATTTCTATAAATCTTTAGACATATACAGATTTTTAATAATTTTTCTCCAAATTAAAAATGCAACATAAGTTTTATTTATTATTCTTTCTCATTTCAGATATACCAGACATTCCTGAGAACATCAAGAATTTACGGGCACTTCAGGTGGCGGATTTCAGCAGTAATCCAATTCCAAGGTCAATAAATTCTCACATTTATCTCTTCTCGTGTAAAGTACTTACATTTCGTTTTAAAAGTTGTTGAAAACATTTATTTAGAATTAAAAAAAAAAAAAAAACGAATTTATCATTGCAGGCTCCCAGCGGGATTTGTGCAATTAAGGAACTTAACTGTTTTAGGACTTAACGATATGTCCCTTACGAATTTACCGCCTGATTTCGGAAGGTAATAGCAACAAGAACTCGCTTTAATTACATTCGAACTTAGGACCGTTTAATTGAATTACATTATGTCTAGTACTAACAAGTTTGTGCATCGATTGTTCGTAGCTTGGAGGCGTTACAATCATTGGAGTTGAGGGAAAATTTGCTCAAATCTTTGCCGGAGTCGCTTTCTCAACTTTATAAATTAGAACGGCTGGATCTTGGTGACAATGACATTGAGATTTTAGTAAGACAAGATATTAAACAAATCATTATAAAAAATATAAGCAAAACAGAAGATTTATTGTTTATTAATATAATATTTGTTATAAATTTGGGACTTCTATTTTAGCCAGCACATATAGGAAAATTACCAGCGTTACAAGAATTATGGTTGGATCATAATCAGTTGCAACACTTACCATCGGAAATCGGAGAACTGAAAACGTTAGCGTGCCTGGACGTATCTGAAAACCGCCTGGAAGATCTTCCAGAGGAAATAGGAGGTTTAGAATCTTTAACAGATTTACATTTATCGCAGAATGTTATTGAAAAATTGCCTGATGGCCTTGGGGAATTAAAAAAACTTACCATTCTTAAAGTCGATCAAAATAGACTTTCCACTCTAAATCCAAATATAGGCAGGTGAGATTAATTTTTCTTTCTATAAAAATTTTGATATTATAAAGGGAATAAAAATTAATATTTATTCGTTGTAGGTGCGAGAATTTACAAGAATTAATTCTTACGGAAAATTTTCTCCTAGAACTGCCTGTAACTATAGGAAAACTTCTTAATCTAAATAATTTAAATGTAGATAGAAATAGTTTACAGTCGCTTCCTACAGAAATCGGTAAGAAAAATATCATTAGGATTACATAGTATAATGATACTAAAAATAAATTTTATCGAATATCTTTTTTTCTATAGGAAATTTAAAACAATTGGGTGTACTGTCTTTAAGAGATAATAAATTGCAATATCTTCCTGCCGAGGTTGGACAATGTACTGCTCTTCATGTGTTGGATGTGTCTGGAAATAGGTATACAATTATTTTAGTTTAAATATCAAATTTTTCTTTAAGTTCTGTTAATGATATTTTTTAATAATATTCATTTTTCAGATTACAATACTTGCCATATTCCTTGATCAATTTGAACTTAAAGGCAGTATGGTTAAGTAAAAATCAAGCACAGCCAATGCTTACTTTTCAGACGGATATTGATGAGGAGACAGGGCAAGAAGTATTAATCTGTTTTCTTTTACCACAATTGGAAATCCATCCAGATGGTTAGTACACCTATCTCACAAAACTATAGTTTGATGTATTTAATTTATAATGTAATTTATACGTGACATAATCTGTTATTTAGATTCAGGAAGACTTGGTATGCTTGGTGGTATGAGAAATGCTGCTCAAGATGGTGAAATACGCGAGCTTGGTAGTAGTGATGATGAAGGTTGGCAAGAAAAAGAAGCATCACGAACGCATTCTGTAAAGTTTACGGATGAACCTCCGGAAACTGATAAGGAGGTGAGCAAGTTGCATATGACGAAATCTTCTACATTTTTGAGATTCGCTACATCTAAATTTAGAGCATTCTCAAGATATTTTATGTGTTGGAAACAATATTATTCTTATGACTCATTATATTAAAATTACAACGAAAAACGAAACAAAAGCCTATTTCTTTCCTAACCATTTATTTTCTTTTCTTAAAATTATGTAAGTATAATGTCTACAATTATTTCAGACACCGTTTGTACGGCAAAATACACCTCATCCCAAAGAATTGAAAGCAAAAGCTCATAAATTATTTAGTAAAGGGAAAAGTGATAGCCGATCAGCATCTACAGAGGAACAAGTAATTATTAATTTAATTTTTTCAAAAATACACACGTGATATTTTTTAACATAAATATTTCTCAGGATGTATCTCAAACATTTGGTTTGGATAAAACTGAGACTGATATATCAACAAAGTCCAATGATTTGACAGCAGACATCACAGAGCAAGAATCATTAAAACCTGAATCAGTAGAAAATGAACAAAAAGAAACTGTACCTGGAATAGTAGCTGATAATGCAGATTTCGAATCTAGCAATGAACCAGAAGTAGCTTCTAATCAATATATTACAGAATCTAGTGCTGTAAGTATTTATGTTAATGATAATTTATTGATTTATTTATTTATTTGTTACTCCGTATTGTAAAAATTATTTAGGATATGGGAACTGAAAGTTCAGTACCTGAATCAAAGGATAGAAATGACAAAGAGGAGGAAGAATCTGAATATGAAGAAACACAAAGACATGTAGAATTTTCTATAATAGAAAGTACTGATTATGATGGTGGTGGTGATTCAAATAGACCAAATAAGCTTCATCGTAGAGATACTCCACATCATTTGAAAAACAAACGAATCCACGCAGTAGATAAAGCAGTAGATAAAGAAAAAGTAGCTTCCATTATTGCACAGGTAATTATTATCTAAAAAAATCATATTTAAGACTAGTTAATAAGCATACATTTGTGTAATTAATTAAAAGAAGTTTTATATAATTTTTAATATGTATTAGGCACTTATGAAGAAAAATGACGAAATCACCACATCCACGTCAGCACCTGCAGAATCCGCAGAAAATTTTGACGCTCAAAGTCAAGGTAAAACATTTGCAAGTAGTATATCACTTTTTCCTTATTACATTTCTTTATATCACTTCTAAATTCATCACTTAAATTGAAGTATAACATTCAAATATTATGTATAAAGTAAAATATTTCAATAGGTAACATATCTCTTCGTCATAAACTATCTTAAATGGCGAGTCTTTCTGAACCTTCTGCTATGTTTGCTTCTTAATCACTGACATTAAACACAATTCAAGATAAGATATACCTTTTTCATTAGCTATCTTATCATTTATTCAGTTATCTATCAAACTCGACATAGCAAATGTTCGTGCGTGGAGAAAAATTGCAAAATGAAAAAATACAATTCAAAATTTAACTGATATTCTATATATTGTGAATAAATGATATTATTAAAAATGCCAAAAAAATATAAATGTTTTGTAAGAGCGAAAAGAAAAAGAACTAAAAGTTAGTAAAATGATTTGTTTACATAATTAAGTATAATGACGCCAATTAAATGTATCGTGTAGGTGCGACTTCTGATGCTGAGCCAACGATAGAAGTACGAGAGGAACAATATGAAATTCATATCGAAAGAACAACAGGTGGTCTTGGTTTATCGATAGCTGGTGGAATCGGTTCAACTCCTTTTAAGGGTGATGATGAAGGCATTTTTATTTCCAGAGTCACGGAAGGTAAAAATTTGAATAAAGAAACCTAACTTTCAATTATAAAACATGTGATTATGAAGTTTCGTAATGTGATATTCTATTTTCTTCTACAGGTGGACCTGCAGATTTAGCAGGTTTAAAAGTGGAGGATAAAGTATTGTCTGTAAATGGTGTTTCAGTTGTAAATGTAGGTCATTATGATGCTGTAGAAGTTTTAAAAGCTTGTGGACGTGTTCTTGTATTAGTAGTTCAAAGAGAAGTTACGAGGATAGTGCCGCCATATGAACAGGTACTATTTTATGAAATGCAAATCATTTAATGATATTAACATTATTATACGTTAGGTATCGTCGAGAAAAGACTCGGTGTGCTCTAGTTTGAGTACTAGTAGAGCCCCAAGTGCGACGTCTCATGTTTCATCTACAGGTTTATCGCATAATTTAGAAAATGGTGATGCTTTACCTCATGATGTTATTAAGGTATATATTTTTTAATAAGCACGTTATATATAATGTAAATAAAAGCATAAAATTAAAAATTTCTATTTCATTAAGTCTAAGAAAATTCCTGAACCTATATCTTCAACGAAGGTGGGCAATGAACCAATGGTATCTGTTCTTGTTCATACGACATTAATACGGGACCAAAATGGACTTGGATTTAGTATTGCTGGTGGGGAAGGTTCCCCACCATTTAAAGACAATAGTGATGTAAGAATTTTAATTTATGAAATTATTCTCGATGCTTATTTCTTTCATTAATTATACTTAACATCTTTTTTCAAATATAATGTTTAGGCAATATATATTTCAAGAATAACTGACGGTGGTGTGGCACAAAAAGATGGTAAATTATTAGTAGGAGACAAAGTAATATCTGTAAGTCTAGCATTATAATATACTGGAATATTATTCCATATTACTTTGATTTTTTTGTTTTCCGTATAATAAAATTATTTTATAGATTAATGGAGTTGAAATGAGAGGAGCTAAGCACGAACAAGCAGTTGCTTTACTAACAGGCTTGGAAAGATTTGTTCGATTAGTGGTCGAACGTGAAATTCCACTTTCGCAAGCAAATGCCGCCACAGTCTTAACGCCTTCAGAAAAATCACCACGAGTGATAGGTGCACCTAGACCATATACAGGATTGTATAATGCTAACAGTTACATAGCAAATAGGCCAAGTTACACTGGATATCGACGTTCTATCGATACTGATAGAACTTTATCGCCAAGTCCCACTTCGAAAACGCCTCCACCTATGAAAATTGAAACTACCGAATTGCCGAAAATGAATGGTGTTACAGAATCAGGAAATGTTACGAATATTTCTTCGATATCGCCAAGCCCAACAAATAGTCAACCACATCCACAACCTGCTCCCAGGCATAGCATTTCGCAACCAACAATTACACCCACGACAACTGCAAGCTCAACGCCCACATCTTCTACAGAACCTAGGTCAACCTCACCCCAGGAGGACATACAGGTATCGAAGCCTATCACCAACGAAGAATTTCAGGCTATGATTCCTGCTCATTTCCTTCGTCCTCCTACTTCCTCACCATCGCCAGATTCCCACCAAGGCCCTATCGTGACAGTGACAATAAAGCAGCCTGATAATTTACCTGGAGATGTCAATTTTCCTCCGGCTCCTACTACACTTGGTAAAGTTACTGAGACCATCACAAAGAGCACTCTCACCGAGACCGTCGTAACTAGGGTGACTGAAAATCAATTGGTACCACCAGTAATTATTGAGGTATGTGCTTGGTAGCTAGATGCACGGATTATATTGCACATACGGTTTAAAGAAAGTTATAAAAATTCTTGCTAAAAAACGAAAAAGTATTGTTTATCCTTTTCAATTTACGCGAGCGATAATAAAAAAAGAAATTTCGTAATTTTTAAATGTTATGATTATAATTATTTTTTCTTTAATACGGGAATAGTTTGCACTTTTTAATATTTTAGGTAAAATTTAAGTATTTAGTATTCGTAATGTATTAACTTATTTCCATGCTTGGATAATAATCACAATTCCACTAAATTATTTTATAATATTCTTACGTATAAATTTTAATATTTAATATAATATTTCGTTAAATATATTCCAGTGCAGTCAATTGAAATTATCTTTAGAATAACTATAATTTGGGAAATGGTGGTCAAATGGTTTTTTGCTCCTTGTGCATGTTTAATTAAAAAATGAATTGTAACATTATTATTTTGAGGAAAACAATTCAAATATTATCATTTATATTTACATGTTTTGTTTTCATGATGAATTATATTTCATTGCATGCCTATGTATTTGAAATTGATTGTCATTGGTTTGATTCAGTAAATATAATTTTTCTGTGTGTGCATTATCAAACCATATCTAAAAGTATTTGATAGGAATTGGTTATATGGAATGTTATATTATTTTAACCTCGGGTGCTTATTCTCTGGCATGGAAATAGGTAAGTAATATATAAGTTAAATATATTTTTTTATCAAATTATGTGCATCCTTCATTATTATTATAAAATTCCATTTTTCATTCTTATATCCACAGCGTTACATTTTTAAGATAATTTACTCATATAATTTAAACAAACTGAAAATTTTATATATTCGAATTTTTGACAATTAATATTCATTTTTAGGACGTAATTCTTGTAAAAGAAGGGTCCCTGGGATTCAGTATTATCGGTGGTACGGATCATTCGTGTACTCCATTTGGTGCAAAAGAACCTGGAATTTTTATATCTCATGTAAGTTTTTTTTACATTATTTTTAATACTGAAAATTTATATATTTTTTTGTACAAATACTAGGTTGTGCCTGGTGGTATAGCCGCAAAATCTGGTAAATTAAGAATGGGTGATAGAATACTAAAGGTAAATGGTACTGATGTAACAAAAGCTACTCATCAAGAGGCTGTGATGGAACTTTTGCGACCAGGCGATCAAATAGTGCTTACTGTTCAACATGATCCACTACCAGAAAATTATCAGGTAAACTATGTATAATTTAATTATTACTGCTTGTTAGTTACTGCACATATATAGAGAATTTTTGCTTCTTAATTATAAAATAGCTTTTTCAATAAAACACGCTTATAGAAATATAACTTTACAAATCACAAACTCACAATGAATATTTTGTCACGCTTAATTTTCAAAACTTTACAATACATATTTAAATTTAGTGTCGAAGCAAAACCGTCCATATTATATTCCAACGTATTAAAAATTGGTAAACATTTAAATATACACATAAAAGAATACTAATAATAGAATAGAATAGGATTAGTTCATTGATACTTAATGCATTATGTTCACCAGTGAAAAGCTTATTATCTGCAAATAGTAGCACTCAAGTGCTTCACTTATAATCGTTTTGTTATGGCATTTCCTAATGCTATTATTTATAATTTGTCCAACAAGCTGGTCGAAATAGAGTACATCCCTGTGACAGTAAGTACTCCATTGATTTGACCTCTTACTGTTTATTTGTGAATACCACGCTTATCCCTCTGTTAAGGCTGCAAGTAAGCTCAGCACCGAATCACGAGCAATTGTTTTCTGCCTAGGCTGAGATTATATAGAATTTAAAACTTTTTTTTACTTGCTTCATATGCTTTATGTTAAATTAAGAAATTTTAAATCAATCATACGTCATGCATTTGTAATTTTTATACAAGTATATTACATTGAAAATGAAACTAGAAGCTATGAAAATTTTATAAAAATTAAATAAAATACTGCATGAAACATGATAGAAATATATTTAAAAATAATGTTGTATTTTAGGAATTAGTTATTACAAAAGAGCCAGGTGAAAAATTGGGTATGCACATTAAAGGAGGACTTCGAGGACAAAAAGGCAATCCCCTTGATCATACAGATGAAGGAGTTTTTATATCTAAAATCAACTCGGGAGGTGCGGCTAAAAGAGATGGAAGACTGAAGGTAAACAATTTTACTGATCATTATAAGAACAAGAGATTTATGTAATAATTTTATGTTATATTCTCAATTTTAGGTTGGAATGAGATTGTTAGAAGTCAATGGTACATCGCTGTTAGGTGCAACTCATCAAGAAGCAGTAAATATATTACGGTGTTCAGGAAATACAATTACATTAGTGGTTTGTAAAGGATATGACAAAAGCGAAATTGAACCAGTATTGCCAATATCCGATAGTAAAGATCCTAAAGAATCTAGAACATCTAAGGAATTGAAAGATCCCACAACAGAAGGTACTAAATCGTTATCGCAAAGTATATCTAGTTTGGATCGCGATGACGAAGAAGCAGCAACTCTCAGACAAGAACAAGAAATGAAAGCTGAACTTGTAGCATGGGAACAAGAAGAAAGAGAACGTGCATTGCTTGAGCATAGAGAAAAATCTACTCCAGAAAAAGTAAGATTCATTGTAAAAGAAATGAAATATTAAACAATATAAGTAATGCTGTTTATTAACGTCATGTTAATTTTAAAATAAAATATTTTCAAATTAAACAGGTATTAGATGTAGTAAGAGCAGCTGAATCGTTAGT